TTATTTGTAATCAAATGAAAATGGTCCAAACAAATATAATAATCGAATCCGAATATAATAATCGAATATAATAATCGAATCCAAAATTAATATAATAATCGAAAAGGTGGAAGAATCTAAAAGATAAGTTATTTTTATTATTGTTAATTAAAATGCGTAAAAAAACAGTAAAATGTATAAAATATATAAAATTTTACATATAACTTATAGGTCAAATATTTGATATATTTGTGATACTTTTCTGGTATATTTTTGATAGCTAAACTAATTAGTTGAAAATTTCTTTCTTTAGAAATGCTAACATTTATATAAAAATAAAAAAATAATAAAATGATAATAATAATAATAATAATATAATAATAATATAAATAAAAATATATAAAATAATATATATAATATTTATAAAAATAATACCCTGTCAATTTGCCAAGAAATCTTTAAATATTAACAATTAATTACATAATAAAAATTAAAATATTTAATAAAAAAATGTTAGAAAAAAAAGCTTAATACTAGAAAAGACTATTCCATAACCAAAGCCAGTTGTCTGAAATTCATACTTATAATTCAAGTCAATTTTCTCATATTTATCAACTTTTTTGATCAAACATATCAAGTAATGCCCACTGTGCATTATTTTCATCCATATTCCACACTCTTTTTGCCCTGCCTCGCGTGCATAAGTGAAAAGTCATGAATCATATATACATACATCATGTGCACAACGCACCTTTGCAAACTGAATAATAATGTTAATGATGATGATGATGATGGTGGTGGCAATGACGATAATGATGATTGTATATTGCAGTTTGCTAAGCTGTCCAAGCCACAGCGATCCATCGGAGCCGCTAGACTCTGAAGCATAGAATTCGAGTGGCCATAAAGTTACATTGCTTATCGCTGAAGAACTTTTAAAAAACACTTGAGATAGCGCGCTGAGAACGTGCAGTGAGACCCAGAAGCAACGCGGTCCCCCAAGAAATACAGGTAGAACAAGTGAGAACTTTCCTGCTGGGTATAAGCGACTGTGCCTTGCTCTGTTTGACGTGCAAATATGCTGAGTCGAAAGGGAATTTTTTGATGTAAATATCTGAAGTTTAGATTTGAAAATCGCACACTCTAGGATATGATAGGATAGATAGGATATCCTGTAGGTTTGAGTGTTAAGAATTGCAGTTTATTATACTTATTCCTTTACTAGGACAATCTTTCGATTGTTCTTTCAATCGAAATCTCAGAACTTTTGCTTGCTACTTTAAGGTCTCATGGGAGGGTGTTTAGCAAATTTTGAACAACTGAGTATAATAATATCCATGATCTATAAAATACATGATCTTTAGCTTAACAAATAAATATCTAGCATAACTGTTTTATATAACTTCTGAAACTTAGATAAGGCTGAAAAGTGCTTGTGTTCTCAATGATTTCGATGACTATCTTCAGAGAGTCTATATATTTATTTCTATATAAGACTATCATTTATACAATCATTTATACAATGAGTTCTTCCTCTTATAGTATAGAACTTACATGAAGTACGAAAGGCAGTTCAAACAAAACCAATATACTCTTCTTTACACTCGACGAACTGAGCACAATTTGATCTTTGAAGAGATTTGTATACAGTCTATATATCTATATACCTTTATCAATTTGTGTACCTTTATATATCTTTATACTTTACTAAATACTAAATATTATATATATAATCTGCGAGCAGAGTATAGTTATATTTTGACTATAGCTGTCTGTTTATATTCCATCTAAAACATTCTGAACAAACCGAATATCCTCGTCTTACACACCCTGCGTACAGAGTATAACAAGACCTAAGTACACACAGCGCAAGAAATAGTTGAAGAGAAGCGCAAGGGATGCGAGAGGTGTGCGCGAGGATTGAGAGGAGTCAGTGGCAGCAGCAGCAGTAACAGCAGCAGCAGTTGGAGCTGGAGCTGGAGTGTCCGCTTGTTAGGTATTGCTTGTATCTACAAATAGACTCCGTCGAGCTGACGGCCACAAGACAAACTCAAACAAAAGACCAAACGGTAGTTGCCACGAATGGTCCGTCGCACCAAAAACCGGCTGACAAAAGAAAGAGACAGAGAGGCAGAGTGAGAGAGAGATGATGGGCAGAAGTAAAAGAACCCAAAGAAAACTTCGCTTGCAACTTTGTTGTGGCAACAACCAGCTAACATCGTCCAGTCGCATCTCTTGCCCCAGCGACTATTTATTAACATCGAGCGCTACAGCGAACACCCAATAACAACGTCTGTCCGCCTAGTTGAATGCATTTTGTGTGTTCAACGATTTCCCACAACTGATATATACATATATACCTATATACCTATATATATATATATATATTGATTGGCTCTTCCAGTATTTATGACCTGCAAACGGTTGTAGATTTCGTTGTCTCAACTCTTCTCTTTTTTTAGCATAGATAAGCTAGAGATATATTTAGGTGGATGGTTTGAGCAGTTTTCTAAAATTAATGGTTTCACTTTTCAGTCAGAATAGAAATATAGAAACTCCTCGGGAAGTAAATGTTGGCATAAGAGAAATGAAGGGAAATACAAACTATGAACACTTATGTATATAGGCTTAGAAATATTCTATACATTTGTTTTAATCTTTTATATTGAAACTTAATTTTAATAAATTTTATAATTTCGAGATTTATCTATATATCTATATATATCTATATAGTATATTTAGAAATGAAAAATGAAAAACCGAAAGTATTAAATCAAACTTTATTCAAAATAATAATTTTAGAATAATTTTAATTTTTCTAAAGTTCAATTTCGTGAGTCTTTCATTTATGGAAGATATCTTACATACAGTTTTTAAACATTATTAAATATTAAAAAAATTTAAAAAAAATAAATGAATTGATTTTATATTAACAACCTGCATTTAAATTTTCGGGATACCCCCAATAGTTTAGATTTTATAGCCCAACAAACTTTTTTTAAGGTGCTGGTTGAAATAAGCTGTGAACCACTGTAGATATCAGCTACAGCTAAAGTATTTTATGTATTACACCCTTAACTTCATACATAAATATGCCTAATTTAAGCCCATACCTACAAAACATAAGCCTAATTTCGATATACTTCAATTACTATCTTAATAAATCTTGGAAAATATATCAATGCATTATCGAATTGATATCGATTACCATTACAGTGATATTAATGAACCTAACTATGAAACTATTGCATTAAAATTTTAGGGAATCTATAGAGAACATGTCTGAAATTATATGAAATAGGAAAATAAGACTCATACCGATAAATTTCAAAGACATTGTCTATCGAATTTATCGAAATATTACAATTACAATGTACTAAATCTATAGGCGTCATCTAGTAGCATGCATATCGATAAACATAATTCCGATAACTGTTAAATAAAATCCAATGAAATCTAGCGACATGTTCCAATTGTCGACCAACCACTGTTAATCACGTAATACTCTGTCGCCGTCGGCATTTAGAACAATAGACCATAATACACTCTAGCACAATGGAAATCAGGTAGTTGCTAAGTAGACCAATCAGAGCCCACACAGTGAAGCACATGTAAGGCGCACAAATGAGGTAATTCCTGTGACACAATCTTGATTAATGAGCCGCGCTGTGGCAGATGATGATTTGTAATAATAGACACTTATATTCGACAATTTCGAAAGGGAAATCTGTGCTAGCTCTATTTTTAATAGCATGATGCAAAAATCAGTGTGTTTTATTTTATAGATGATAAGCAAGTGATGATAAGTGCGTTCCATACAAATATTTTTGATTAGATTTTAACAAAATGATTTGAATTTGTGGTATGAAATCAAAAATAATTAAATATTACAAGTAAATGAAAGCCAGGAATCTATGAACAAAAGTTTTGGAGTTGTAGACATGTAAATAAGCTAGTTCATTGAACATTCGTTAAGTAGTTCTGTGTCTTGTAGACTTTTGTCTTTGAAGTTGTTTCCTATATATTGTGTGCCTGAGGTTTGCCACTTTCTAGTCTGCCATCCTTCGTTAACCCTCATCAGAAATCTTCCGTGTTGCACCTAATGTAACCCTTATTATAGCTTATCTGCATTTGAAAACCTGTGAGAAGTCAGCACGAGGCAAAGTCTTGCCGCTTGCGTCATCAGCTCAGCGCCGTTGGCTGTGTCGCTATTTCGGGTACGCGTGATAAGCGCGAGTCAGCGCCTCAATCAGTCAAAACTCACAAAAAAAAAACAACAAATACAAATAAGAGCAAGAAAAACAACAACGAAGCGTGAATGAATTTTTCCACACAAATTGAAAATGAAAATGAAATGTGCGATAGTCAACTGATAAGCGCAGCGAACACGGACTGAGCGCCGCATATAGATCTTATATCAGCTGCGGAGAGCAAGAGCGACAGTGGCAGAGAGGGAGAGAGAACCCACGCAGTGAGCAACGCTCAGGCTGTGTTTTGGTTAACCGGTAAAGCATTTCGTGTAGACTTTCCATTGTAGAGTTGCGCTCTCAGCTGACTGGCTGACACTTGTTTGGCTTTTCTGCTCAGTACCCTCGTTCAGTCTTGAAACGCGTTTTAAAGCTCGAGTGTCGCGTCTTTCTCGCCAGCGCTCGCTTACGTCTGTAGCGATCGCGTGTTGCGCGACATCATTTGGATACGGTTTCATTACGCGGCTCGTGTTTAAATCGTTTAACCGAAAAAACGCAAAGTTGCAAAAATTAACGAAATCTATGCCGGCTGTGTCTACCGGGTAAATGTGTATCGAAATACCTGGAAGTTGTCTAAAACATATTCTTATTGTGCGTGTGTCTATCTATCGTTGAGCAGTTCTCGATTTAACTGTTTACTTTCAAGTGGAACGATACGTAAAACGATTTTTAAAATCAAAAATTAATAAAGTAAAAATACAAAATTATAAAATAACTGCCAATATAAATATGTACAGAAAGAAATTAAAAATTCCCATTTATTTAAGAAAAAATTCCCTGAAATTTTGAAAAATTCCCTTTGCAACATCTTTATAAACGAAGACAACAAAAAAAGTTGCTGTGAAGGCAAAGTTAAAACGAGAAAAGATCGTGAGTCTGTAGAGAAGACAAAATGTAACTTGGCCGTAATCGATTGGCAACAACTGCAAAGGATACGTCAGGCTGCAGCAAACAGCTGCAACGGCCACACACACATACAAACACATACTGATGCCAATGCAGATATTCTGAATACATCAAACACACAGATACTATAGATACATGAGGCAGCCTGCCATATAAAAGATACATGCCATGTTCCCACTAACCAACCGCTCTTCGAGTGGCAAAAACACCAACAACAACGGCAACAGCAGCAGCAACAGCAACACCATTGGAAGCATCGACAACGAAAAGGATAAAATAAATTTCCAAAATAATTGGAGCTGCAATAAAACAACCGGTCGACGCGCTGGAAGTGGGTATAGCTGCAGTTTCTTAGGTAAATTCTCATGGGTGCCATAAGAACAAATAACCGTTAAGTGTAAATTCGTACATTTTGGCATACGTCATCATGGAAAACGGCATCTGTTTGCATGGAGTATTTTGGTTGAGTCCGATTATTTATTGATTCTGTAGAAACTCGTTGAAAAGAAGTTGAAAAAGTCAATTAAATAAGCTTACCCCATAAAAATGTTATTGATTGCTGCATAATGTGAGGGTTGGATAATTATTTATTGCTCATCATTAAAAATCGAAGCGTGTAAATAATCAACAATTGATTATTCAGCTATTCATTTAAGCGTTAATTATGAAAAGGTGTTTCACGCAGCGTCCGCCCACTTCACGTAGATTCTCAAATTCCATTATAATGCATTGCTTTCCATTATTATCCATATCTCTCTCCCTCCATCACTCCCCTCTTTTGTAGATGTTGTTACTTTTTGCATTAAATTGCAATGCTTTGCACTCATTTACATGTCGCGTCGCAGAACATTCCAATTCCTTCCCCGTTGGCTGTTGTGTTTTGTTGTTGTTTTAGTCTCTTAGCATGGAGAGACAATGCAACTCTTTTGTCATTGGAAGGGCTTTGCAACGGGTCGGCAGGAAGTCTGTCTGTGTGTGCCATGAAAAATGCCATAAGAATTCCAACAGCAGCAGCAGCGGCGGCGGCGGCGGCTTCGGATGCGCTTTACGCTTGCGCAATTCGTAAAGCTTTTTTTTCTTTTGCGCTCCTTTCGTTGCGCATGCCAAAGCTTCAATAAAAAGAGCGGTGAGGGAAGCTTGCAGAATGGGCAGAGTGGAGTGGAGAGTGTACGGAGCGCTGTCGGTGTGTGCTTTTATTTGTTTGCTGTGTAGAATTCCCAGAAATGTCTTATTTCGAAATTTGTTAACAAGCAGACACAAACACTCGCACACATACAAATACATATACACGTATCACATGCTTGTCTCCACGCATGGATTGTGTTCAGGAGCGGCAGAAGGAGGGTTCAAATAGTGTATCAAGTGTTTGTACGTTTATATTGTTGATGTGCTGCGCTTTCAAGTTGAAGGTTAAAGTTGAGATTTACCTCGCGTCTTTTCAATTGAGTTAGAAAATGAGTGTAGAGATGTGTATGCGTGTGTGTGTGTGTGCTTGTGCTTATTTGTTTGGTTCTTGAGAGTTTTTAAATTTGCCTCGAGTGGCAACAGACAAATCCTTTGTGTGTTCGCATCTTAGACCTTCAACGGAATGGCACAAAGGAAAGAATTTACAAATTTTTGACAGCATGAAAATATTTACCTTTATTTGTCGAATTGTTTACACAGATATGCAGCAACAGGTACTCAATTAAGCCATACAATGGACATAATCTCATACCAATCAAGCACGACTACAATAAAAATCATATTGCAGCACAATGATGGCCCGCAAATTAAAAACGCTGATCGTGGCCATATTCAAAGTGTGTTTAATAGCATATTGCCAGAGCTGCTGACCCACCATAACAAGTCTAATTAAGATGCTATTTAAAACAGCAAACAGCACAGCAAGAAATTGAATAAATTTAGTTTTGCTATTGCGATTTGCATGCAGCTGTTTAAATATCGAGGTCTCCGCATTTAGAAAGGGAAAGACCCACAGGGAAGAGGAAGAGTTCCATGAGTGTGGCAATGAGTTAAGTCTTGCTGCCAAAACACACCCTCAGGGCTCATTAGGAGCACTTTGCTGCGTGTGTGTGAGTGAGATTTATTAGCGAACACTGGCGGCAAATTAGCTGGAAATGTGCAGCCGAACATGCAGAGAAGGCGTAAGGAGTTGGGGTGTGGATAGAGGGGGAACGGTTAGACTGGACTGGACTGGAACGGCCCGTGGCTCTCTTGGATGGTTAATTGCGCGGCTGTGCTCAGCGGGTCGCCCGGCCAAATGAGCGTTTAAAGTGTCTGCGATGTTAGATTGCAACATGCGGCAGCCGCTGCTGTTCGCGAATGGCATGCAAAATTCAAACAAGTTGGCAGCCCTGCGCACGAAATGCGCACTTAAAGCCGCTGCGCCATGGCAAATCGCATTCGATTTGTTGTTGCCAGCGCGCAGTCACATTTTGAATTATTTGACACTTTGCATGCGCTCATCTTCCAGGCGCTACGTCTCGCTCGCACTCACACACTCACTCGCTCTTAGTCTCTTTCTTCCTACCCTTCCCCTCACTGCAGTTTATTAACTCATTATTTTGAATTGAGCGTCTTTGGCCGACGGCTAAAGCATGTTGCAAAAGTTTCTGCTGCCTTGACAAGTTGTTGTCCCACTCTCTCGCTCTATCAGCCTCTATCTATCTCTGTTGCACAACTTTCCTTGAGATTCCCAGCTGAAAGCATCGCAAAATCTTTTGTAGTTGATTGAGTGCTCGGCGCTCTTTTTCTCATTAGTGAAATGAATATTTTTTCTCTTTATTTCTGCATGCTTCGTAATTTCGAACATAAAGTTAATCACATTGCGGCTTGTCTTTTAATTAAGGCAATCAATAATTTGTGAGTAATCCTTAATTGATGTCAACTACAAAACGAAGCGTCACATGAACAAAATTTGTGTGCAAAGAAATTAAAAGAATTTTTAATTGATTTTTTTTTTGAAGATTTTTGAGGTCAGTTGAATGGTTCCAGACTCTGTTTAGACTTCTATTAATAAAGTCTAAATCTATTATTATATTAAATATTTAACTATGAAACAGAATTTGCTGTGGTAAGCCTTAGGACTAATTTAATTTGGTTTGTAAAGAGAGATTGTTGTGTTTTTCTAGGGTATATATTGCTAGGCCTATATAGCTACGTATCATATTTTAGTAGATTTTCATTTTCAAACTAAAATAAAAAAGAAATGTTTGTTTTTTAGTGGCCTTTTATGTACAGTTCACATTCATTCTCTACCTTCCCCAATTAATTTGGACATGAAACGTTTTTTTTGCATTTAAATAATTTTTGAATTGTTGACCTCCAACAAGATTCGAGTCGAATTGCCGACAAACATTTGAAACACACAAAAAATCTTAATAATTATTTGCACATTTGTTTGTTCAAATTGCTGTTTTCGATTGCCAAAAGGCAATAGCAGCCGCGTAACACTTTGTTGTAGTAAGCGCGTCGGCCAAAGATAAAACAAAACAAAAGGAGAAAAAACAATCAACAATTCATATCTCATCTGTGTCGGAGTCAAGTTGTAGGCGTTGCTTGACGGTAGCGCCGACAGTGTCAAAAGAGACATCAACAAGCTGACGTGGACACGTGAAAACACAAATAAAAAAAACCCATCGAAGGAATGTCCCTAATGTATGCAAATATGTAATTTGTAAAATATAAGCACAGGATATATAATTTATAAAAAATAGTCAATTCAAGTTACGTTTGCTTTGATATCAAGTTTATACATCAAAGGCTTATAAAATGCTTCAAAAGTCTCCAATTCTTCAATATAAATATTTTAAGTCTTATTACTAATATTAATCTTAGTTGAAAAGACATTCCTCTAGCAGTAGTTAGTCATCGTCAAGAATTTCGTCAGTTTGTGATTAAGTTTTTTATAAGGAAATTTATCAGCCAAGAGCTTTTATGACGTATTACGAATAATTTAGTTTATATCTCAACTAGTCAGTTATTATATATTAAACATAATTTATAACTGATTAGTTTTTGATTCGAAATAAATTTCACAGAATTATAATTTGACATTTTTTAATGTCTGACTTTTTTCTAATATATAAAATTGTTAGTCAACTTTTTCTGGCTTTTGTGCAAAATTCTTTCAGTTGGCACGCGAAAAGTTTTGATAAGATAAGAATACATATATATATTGTAGAAATACAGCGCATATCTATTAGAATTCCCTGGCTGTCGCGCCTTTTGACCGGCGCACCTGTCGCACCTGTATTTGATAAACTTTGTAGGCGGCGCCAGGCGTTCGTCGTGCTTTTGTCTTTTATATTTTCGCTTCAATATTTACCAATAATTAAAGCAAAAACGAAGGTAATTGGCTTTGCTTGTTAACTCGGCTCGCATGCAAACATATCTCGCTATCTGAGTAGAGTTTGCTTTGTAGATTGTCGCGAAAAACAACTACAAATAGTTCGCCACAGTTGAGGAAGCGAATTACTTTGACTCTTTTTACGCTCTCTAAAGCAAATACGAATTTGCTTAGATTGCAAACACAAAAAGATGACAAATGTTTGTCCAGCAATTTGTTGTATGTGTGTGTGTGTGTGTGTGCGGGGGAGCGGTGCGAAAGCGTGACTTAAGCGCGTTAAAGCTCTTAAGATTGGTCAGAGTTTGCATTTGAGGTTTGGCCATGTCTGTGGGTCAGCCAGATAGCCAGGGTCAGCACTGGGTCAGCAGCTGAGCAGCTGAGTGTGTGTGAGAAAAAGATGTTTTGTTAGTTTGAATAGTTGTCAAATGTATATATATATATGTCAAATGATAATGTTAAGCTTAAAAGCAGGTAGAACATAATGTAAGCGTGCTGAAAGTCACATAGAAAGGCAATAATATATTAAAAGAAAGATGGAATAAAACAGAGAAAGATATTTATCTTAACTAGTCTTAGAAAACATATTTAAGTTGAATATAATTGAACCGATTTTTGCCACTCATATATCGCTTTTCTGTTATTTTTTAAAATTTATTTATAATTACGAATTTAATCGCGAAATAAAATAAATATATAGACAAAAAACGAGTAAAAGTTAGAAAGAGCGAGTGCTTTTCTTTCTCTATATTCTTCCCTATGGCATAGAAAGAACAGTTTCCTGGGAGAGCGTCGATTTCGCTTCTTCTCAATAATACAAATACCTTTCCATGCGATTTTCATAGTATCAGAATATTTTATATCTAATCAACAGAGTCAAAACAATCAGAGATTAATGCATTCAATATTGAGTCATTTACTAATGCATATTCCCTGTACGTATGGACAGACATTTGTTACATTTGACCTTTCTCTGAACTTATCTGTGACTAATTTTTATAATAAAA